TTTTCTCTACTGTGTGATTTAAAGATTTCATTTAAAAAACATATTTGAAGAAATGAAGCAGAGATATGTAAATCCATTCAGTCAAGTTTATTGAATTTACGGTGTGCTCAGCACTAGGCAATAACATGAAAAACAAGATCTCAACAAGGGAAAAATGTACGCTGCACTGTATTAATCCTCAATCATTTCCGTGTTGCTTTTTAAAGCATTCTTAGGTCGTTTTGGGGTACGTGGTCTCCCTCTTTCTACATGTCCTCCTAAAGCTTCTGGCATTATCGAATTATGTGCCTGCTGTGACCATCCTAGTGGCGCAGGACCGGTGGCTTCCTGGTGCTGGGGCCCCATGGTGGAGGAGATGTGCTGAGAGCGAAACCGCCAAGCCCAAGGGCTCCGGACACTCACAGTGAATCATTGAAGGCCAAACTTGGGGAACACAAAAAGGGCTCTGGGCCCCTGACTCACCCCCTCCCCCAGGGGATGTGCTTAAAGTGCTAACACTGTAAGAAAATGACGCATTGCTACACGCCATCCTGGGTGCCACCAGGTCTGTCATCTCCCTCTTCCTACCTGGTTTGTGCTAACACCAGGCACTGGCACTGCCAGGGGCCAGGCCAATAGAAAAGTCCAGTGCCCAGTGAAGAAGGTCCAACATATAACCTAGGATGTCCGAGAGGTGAGGGCAGAGGGGTAGATGAGGGCAGAAAGGTACGCAGCAAAAGGGACTAGTTTGTGCTTGGCCAGTGCCCCTGGGCCAGGGGTTGGTTCCTGTGCAAACTGCAGTTTAGTTCTACAGCCAGCAAGGTCCTAAATTCTCCCTGAGGGAAAAAAGCTACATAGCATAGGCAGGAAATCCATGCAGGGTCCTCCCTGTGCCCCAAGCCCGCATGCCCCCATGCCTACAGTACAAGGTGCTAAGGACCACAGGTGCGGCGTATTCAGCAGGCCATGCCACACTTGGATGCTGGATGACGTCTGAACACACCTGGCCAAAGAGCCCCAGCTGCCTGGGCCCAGTCATCACATGCAGGCCCCCAACCTGGGTTGGCAAGAGGGGCTCAGGGCCAGCTGGCAGCCTGGTCAAGGATACCTGTGCCCCTGCGGGTCAGATCCCAGAGAAACACATCATGTGTGTGACACAGAGGACACCCCAGCCAGGAGGGCAAGCAAAAGTGGCAGTGGGATGGCCTCTTCACGTTGGCAAGGCAGCTAGGCAGAGGATGCCTTGGAGGAGGAGCTGGAGGGTATCTGGGGGCCGAGAGGGCGCCCCCCTCTCGCCCTCAGCTCAGAGCCAGATCTCATCACTGCTCACGCTGGACACTCGATAGATGTAGCCCAGCATTGGGAGGCGGATGAAGCCTGTGAGGTCAAAGAGGTGCAGGGGACTCAGTAACCCTGGTTCCTGGGAAGGTGGGAGAGTCCTCTCTGCCCCCGGCACTCGGAGACCTTCGATGCATTGACACATACACAGGGCTGGGGAGCAGGGGAGGAGGGCAGCAGGCCCCTTGCCAGTACCTCGGCTGGTGAGGAGGCCGCCGGGCTCTGGGTCCAGGAGCTCTGGCCGGCTGTTGTTCCGAGGTATCTGCCGGTCTGCTGATTTCCCTGTTGGGTGACAAAGGGGGCTGTGCCCAGGACAGGAGCGTGCCTGATGGGGTCTTGCCCATCCTAAGCACCAGGGTCTCTCTTTTTCTCAGAAGCACCTGCAAACAGCAGGGGCCTGGATGTACCTCTGGAATCTGGAGTGAGGTCGTTGAGCTGAAGGTTGGATGGGAGGGACATGTTCTCCCGTGGCAGGCGCACGTTGTTGAGTTTCAGGTTGTTGGAGTCACTACGGGCAGACAAAGGTTGGGATATGCCCTGGCACCAGCAGGTACAGGTTCCTCTACTGGGGCCTATTCCAGACCCACCAGAAACCCCGGGTTCCCACATGTCCCCATCCTGCATTTCCGTTCAGCCCGTCCACCCAGCCCCAGGAAGAGTTACCTAGAGACCAGAGATGGGCGCCGGGAGGGGCCTGAGGAGAAAAACACCATGCCACCGAATCTCAATGTGCCCTCCCATGCTGGGCTCTGCCTCCCCTGCCCTTTCAGACCCAGGACCCTCAGGCAAGTTCTCTCTCAAATGCCCAGCCTGGGTTCCCAGGGCCTGACTCTGCTACCCAAGACCCATGTTGTCCTACCCACGGCCATGCCCTGGAAGTGCTCTGCCACTTGTCAGAGATGACCTGTTCTGCCCAGCTCTACTTGCTGTTTTTGCTGCTCACCCCGACCTCACCACCACTCCCTTAGCCCCCCTCTGCCCCCAACACCCCTGGCCCTACCTTTGGTGGTCTTCTCTTTCCTGCAGACCAAGCAGGCCACCAAGGTGCTGAACCCCACAAGGGTGCCCAAGGCAAGCCCTCCAGCTACAACAATGCCCAGCAGTGGTACTTCTACCCGGGTGGCCAGGAGCCCTGCAAGTTGTCTTCTGATTAGGTTCCAAGTGGGCAGTGCCCCAACCCCGAAATGTTGTAGGGACTACTCTGTCCTCCTTGCCCAAGGTGGATGGGGACAGCTCATCCACGAGACCCACCCAAAGGGGCAACAAGTCCTCCCATATCTGCACCCTGGTTCCTGCGCTCGCCTGAGCCTTTGCTGGGCCAGTCGCTGGCAGTTCTCACCTGGGGCAGGCAGCGAGGCACTGGTGACACCCACGTCATTGGTGGCCACCACCGAGAGGTTGTGTGCCAGGCTGTGGAGCTGTAGCTGCACAGTGTGGTTGGTGAGCCAGGGGTAGTTCTGGGCATCCAGCACCAGGAAGTCAGAGGTGTTGACAGTCACTGGCCCATCCTGGTCGATCCAAGTGACATTGGCAGGTGGGTTGGCACGCACCAGGGCAAACAGGACAACCAGGAGGCCTGGGCCCTGAGCTTCCTGGTACTTGGCCCCGACCTGGGCAATCTCCGGCTTAACTGGTACAAAGCAGAGGCCAATATGCTCTCACCACAGCGCCTCATGCTTCTGGCCATTTCTTCCCAAACCCAAACCCAGGTGGGAGCCAGGAGCCTGGACCCCTCCTCAGAGGGGGCACTGAGAAATGCGATGTCTGGGTCTGCCAGAGAGGCAACACTTTGTAGCGATTAAAAGTATAAATACCAGAGCCCAAATGTCTGCATTTGAACCCTGGCTCTGCTTCTTACCAGCTGTAGAACCTTGGGCAGACTGCTTAACTTTTCTGTGTCTCAGTTTTCTCATTTGTAAAATGGGATAACAACAGTAATCACCTCATAGGATTATCATGAGGATAAGGTGAGTTAATATTTGCAAAGTGCTTAAGTGTTTATTAAATGTCCTGCCAACCACCCTGCCTGGTGGCTTCTGGGGGTTCCTGGGCAGAGACTCTCTCCCTGCCTACCTCAGGGGCACTCACATTGCACATTGAGGATGACGGAGGCGTTGGCTGACTGGCCACTGCCCGGGTCCTGCAGGGAGCAGTTGAGCTCATGCTGGGCCCGCTGCGCAGTGATGGTAAAGGTGCTGGTGCCCCCAGAGAAGGCCTCCCCACCCACGCTCAGCAGTCTCGAGGTGCTGGCCTCCTGCAGCTGTCCATCCAGGTACCAGGCCAATCGGGGGGTGCCAGGGCCCCCTGCCACCCGGCAGGTGAAGGCGTGGCGCTCATTCTCCCGAAGTGCCAGCTCAGCCCAGGTCTGACCATCTATCTGTGGCGCCAACTCCCCCCAACCTGAAACACAGCAGAGGGCCTCTGGGAAGGGCTGGAGAAGGGTTGGTCCCGTTCTGTGACCAAGACAAGGTCATTACCGAGGGGCAGCAGGCCCAGAGCCAGGGCACCTGGGTTCTCTCTCCAGGGACTGGCTGGACCTAGGGTAGGCGGGTGAGGAGAACCAGGCTCTACAGTGGGTGCGCGGACTGAAGGTGTAGAGAGAAGAGGACAGAGGAAGGAGGCTCTGGACCCCAGAAGTGCTTGGTGGAGGAATGAACAGGGGTGTACCTGAGCTCAGAAGGGCGGGCAGGAACAGCAGTGTGTGCGAGAGGGTAGCTGGGCCTAGAGGCAGCGCCATGGTGGCCCGGGCCGGGGCCCCAGGCTGCTGAGAGAAGGGGGCGGGCCTCGGTGTCAGCCAGGTGAGAGCAGGCAGGCCTAGCAATTCCTCCAGGAATTTACTCTCCAGAAACAAAAAGAACCATGCACAGAAACACAAATGTAGACCAGCCCACAGTGGCGAAGGCACAGACCCACCCACCATGTACCTGGTCACCCAGCGGGCGCAGAACCAACCACTGACTCGAGGGGACAAGCAGGTACACATTCGCAGATACACAGAAGCAACGAGCGCCAGCGCAGCCGCACCGTGCCCAGACACACACGCACACTCGAGCCACACGCGCCCCTCCCCCAAAGGGAGCGCCTATCTCCTCGCCCCTCCTCTTCTCTACCCCGTTCCCCCTCCCCTTTCTCGCCCTGCGCCCCCTTCCCTATCCCACTTGGTCGGGTGGATTTGGGCGAGAGAGGAAGGGGTGGGGGTGGGGTCGCTGAAGCATCCCGCCCCCGCCCCCTTCCCCCGGGCGACTCACCTGGCTCCCTCCCCGCGCGCAGCCGGAGCAACTGCTCAGGTCTGAGGAGCACCGCAGTCCCCTGCAAGGGCGGGGGCTGCGCCAGGCAAGGCCAATCAATGCCCAACCACGGGCCCGCCGCGCGCTGACCCCGGCCCCACGCCGCGTGCACCTGAGTGCGCTTCTGCCCGTGCGTGGCCGCGTGGGCGCGACGCAGAAGCAGGCGAGTCGGTGAGGCCCGTGCAGCTTTATTGGTTCAGGGCCCCTCCCGCCCCCTCGGCTGCGGGCACCCAGGCCCTGCGGCGCTCAGCGCCCGTTGCGGGGGCCGCGCAGCTGCCCCATCATGTCAGCCAGCATGCGGTTGCACAGCGCGGCGTAGGGGTTGAGCAGCACCAGCTGGCGCCGCGCGAACGGGCTGCCCAGCCGCGCCGCCCGCTCGAAGTCCCTGCGGGCATCGTCGTCCCGGCCCTGCAGCCGCGCCAGGAGCCCGCGCTGCACGAAGCTCTGGCGGGCGGCGCGACCTCGGCCGCCGCTTAGCTCCACGGCGCGCTCCAGGTCCTCCAGGGCGCCTGCGGGACGGGAGGCGGTCACTGGGCGGCAGGTGCCCGAGCCCGCCCGCCACCCGTAGCCGCGCGGATCGCTGCAGTCTGCGGTGGTCCCTGAGGCTCCGGGCACGGCCATTTACAGCCCAGCCCGCCTGCTGCACGTGCAGACATTTGATGCTGGAGGTAGGGATTTGTTATCCCATTACGCAGCTGGAGACTGGAGGAGTTGGGAAGACTTGCCCTGGGCTGCACAGCCACGTAGGAACAGGTTCCTATTATTTTCTTGTTCCTATTATTTTCCACCACTAATACACTAAAACATGAACGTTGTGGGAGGATTTTGAATGGTCACTATGTTTTGAATCTGGCCCATTGTCGGGCAAGTAGCAGGCAAGTCATTCCACACGTGTTTTGTGTTTTTTTTTTTCTCCCTAGCTAATCCACACGTAAGTTATTAATCATCTACTATGTGACAGGTGACTGACTCAATCCCAGGGTTCAAAAAAATTATAATTAACGAGGCACGGTGGCTGGGGCCTGTAACCCCAACTACTGGGGAGGCTGAAGCAGGAAGATCATTTAAGGCCAGGAGTTCAAGACCAGACTGGGCAACATGGTGGGACCCTGTCTCTACAAAAAAGAGAAATATTCGCCAGGCGTGCCAGTAGTCCCAGCTACTCACTTGGGAGGATCCCTTGAGCTCAGGAGTTCAAGTCCAGCCTGGGTAACAAAGCAAGACCCTCCTCCAACTCTAAAAAAATTTTTTTAAATTAAAAATTGTAATTAACTGCACAACCATTTCTTGCAAAGACAATAAAGTCAGGTTCTCATTCTTTTGAGGGCTTTTTGCGTTGCTTGTTAAAATTTAGAACAGCTCCTCCTCAGTTTCGTGGACTGATTGCCTTTCCTCATTCTGTCATTATCTCCAAGATCTTCACTATTTTGTATCTAATTCCTTGGAATGGGGTCCTGGAGCCAGAGCTGGCCTGCACCATTTTTATTTTTGTTATTCTCATAAAATATTAATCCTTGGATTAGGCCTCAGAACTCAGAACCTCAGGCAGCCAGGTGGTGTCTTCTGTAAGATCCCCCAGGCTGTTTTCACGCAGGCTCTGCTTCAGTTCACTCAGGTTCTCTAGTCTTCTAAAAAGCCTGACAAGGCACGTGGGAAGTTCCAGCACTGTCGTGGAGCAAACCTGATCTTCCCTGTCTTGGGTCTTTGTGTCTTGATTCCTTAAACCCACCCAAGGCTGCTGGGAAGCTCTCAGGTCGCAGCATTCCTTGGTTTCCCTCGGAGGGAGGAGCTGATCTGGAGGAATCAGTTACCTCTTCACCTTTCTGGAGTTTCAGCCTCAGGCTGTCCCCAGGGCTCTGGGGCACATAAGCCTGGAAAGGGGGCTCTAGGGATTCCCTATTGTTCCCGGAATGGAGTCCAAACTCCCCAGCCTGGTGTTCCTGGCCCTAGGAGCACCTGCACCAGCACTGGTCCTAACAAGTGGTTCCCTATTAGGCTTCCATAGTTTACACCTTCCCGTCAGCCTGGTCCCTCTGTCCCACTGTCCCCAGTCTAGCCAAAGTAACCTGAATGCAGCAGGTTTGATCCAGTCACTCCGCTGTTAAAATCCTTCAGTGGTCACCTTTATTTTCAAGACAAAGTCCAATCTCAGCCTAACACTCCCAAGGTCTTCACCATTTGACCTCTGCCTGCCCCTCCAGGCTCAGCTCTCCATCCTTCCTCCACTCCAGCCAGCCTGGAAATCTCAGGTTCCCTGTACCTGTGCATACCTTCTGGACCTCCACAGACTCTACCTTCTCCCACTCCCTCCCACTCACTCAGCTAACTCTTACTCATCCGTCAAGACTTGCCCTTCAGGAAGAGGTCCCATGCTGACCCCTCTCAAATTTGGTTTGCTGGTATCATGTATGTGTCTGTTCTACCCCCAAGACTGGGAGCTCCTTGAGGAGCAAGTATCATGTGGCCATTAAGAGCACACACTCTGCAGCCCTACCACCTGCTTCAAATCCCAGCTCTGCCACTTCCCAGCTGTACGATAGTGGACAAGTTACTTAACATCTCCATGCTTCAGTTTCTTTATCTAGCAAACAGAATAGTGCATACCTTTTAGGGTTGTTGCAAGAATTAAGTGTGTTACCACAGCTTATATGTAAAGTGCTTAATGCCCGGCACATAGTAACCGCTATATAAATGTTAGCTGTCAATAGTGTACCATTTATCTGTATGTCCTCAGCACCTAGCCTACTGCCTGCCACATTGTAGGTTCTCATTAAATGTTCCTTAAATGAATGAATGGGATGCAATCACTTCTGACTTTCAAACAGGCCCACGAGAGTAGCAGGGCCCACGATACATCTCATACTTTATGCGTAAGAAGACGGGCTCCAGAGTTTAGTGACTCCCCACCCCTCATAGCCTAGCTCCATAACCACTTCATCTCTGGTCTGTGCCCTCTGGCAGCCCCTTCTGCAGAGGCTCCAGGGCATCTCCCCTTACCTGCCACATCGCCCTGAAGTCGCCGGGCCTGGGCTCGGTTGTTGTAGGCTGATGCCCTCTCAGGCAATAGGCAGATGGCTTGGCCAAACCTCTCCAGGGCTGTGCTGAGGTCCCCAGCCTCTGCTGCCATCACCCCCTGCAGCTCCAGGGCCTTGGACTGCTCCAACTGTGCTTGAGGGAAAACTCCATCTGTGCCAGGGAATGAGCCAGGAGGAGGGGACAGGTGTGCAGTCAGGGCAAGAAGAAAAGGCCACCTCAGGCTTTGGAATCCCGAGATCTGAGCCAGAGCTGACTGAGTGTGGGTCACAGCAGGGATCAGTTGCAGTGCTTGGGGTTAGTGGGACCTGAGGTCATCAAGGCTGGGAGCTAGCACTGCCTAAGTTCCAAAGGGATCTGGGAAAGGGATCTTGGTTGGCTCCCCATTGCCAAGAGAATGAAGCCTAAACTCCTTAACCTGTAGTTCAAGAACTGGCACATGGTCACACAACCCATAAATTGCAGAGCTTGAATTGGAATCCAGATCTTTCTGGCTCCTAAGCCTGTCCGCATTTTGCTCTACTATACTGCCTGTTACACAAAGGCCCCCATGACATTAACAAGTCATGAAAATCACCCCTCAGCTTTTCAGTCTGAAGTTTCAGTAAGGCTTAGGCTTCCACTCCTTCAGAAACAAACGGCATTAAAAACACCTTCATTAGAGAATAATGTAAAAGCCGGTTAGCTCAGTGCTTGGCTTGTAATAGGGTTTAATAAATGCAGGCTGAGCCTAGTGGCTCATGCCAGTAATCCTGGCACTCTGGGAAGGCAAGGCAGGTGAATTACTTGAGGTCAGGAGTTTGAGACCTCATCTCCACAAAAAATAGAAAAGTTAGCTGGGCGTGGTGGTGTGCACCTGTAGTTCCAGCTATTTGGGAGGCTGAGGCAGAAGGATCACTTGAGCTCAGGAGTTTGAGGTTGCAGTGAACTATGATTATGCCACTGCCCTCATGCCCAGGAAACAAAGCAAGACCCTGTCTCTAAAAATAAAAAACAAAAACCCTCCTATTTCTGCTTTCTGTATTGTAACCACTCATTCAAGTGAGCCACCACTCTCTGCCCTGCCCTGTTTCTGTCTTCCATTCTGTGGTGGTGGGGTGATATTCTCTGTTACGACGTAGATGTGAGTTTAACATTATCCGACACAATTATGCTTGGATCATGGAATGAATAAAGTGGTAAGTTCAGAGGTGTGAGAGCTGATCGTTTTCTCCTCTTGGCAGAATGTCTCTAAACCCCTATCAGTGCATTAAGGATCAGCCAACCTGATTCTAATCTCAATCATAACCCAAGGGTCATGGAACAAGGGGCCCTGTAAGATCACCTCCCTCTGCCACTCTCGGGAGGCCAGCAGGTCAGCCTATGTGGAGAGCTACACTCCAGGCCAAATGCTCACCTTCATCTAGTTCTTCCTTTTCTGCTTCTCCTAGGTCCAACTCAACATCTCCAAATGGGGTGTCGGGGTTGAAGATGGCCTGCAACACTGCCTGATCATTTGGAGTCCCCATGGTGCTCAACTCCAAAATCCCAAAAGGTGACTCAGGATGAGAGAAGAGGGAGGCAAGGGGGTAGGTGCTGAGCCTCCAACAGGCAGTGGATCTAAAAAGAGGAGGTTCTGTTTGAGGACCATCCCCTCGAGAGGAGTGTCTCCCATTCCTTGGCTATAGTGTAAACTTAACCCCCTTGGGCCTGGGGTTAGTGATCCCGGCTGGCAGAATATTTACAATTATTTCTCAATGCTCCCCATCCCCCACAGAATAAACAAATCCAGTTTCAGCCTTAAGGTGGAGTAGAGCAAAGAGAAGGTGTTCTCCAGCTTTTCCCTGAAATGCTTTCATTTTCTTCACGAGAAAAATTGTTAGAAGCTGCTGCTTAACCTCCCCTGGATAAAAGAGGGGGGATATGTAAAAGATAAAGGGACTATTCCTTTGTCCTCTTGACCCCTTCCTGAATATACATCATTGATGAGCAAAAGGAGAAAATACAGTCAGTGAGAACTGGACATAGCTGTGCGTGCTTGTAGTCCCAGTTACTTGGGACGCTGAGGCAGGAGGATCCCTTGAGCCCAGGAGTTCAAGGCTGCAGTGAGCTATGATTGAGTTATTGCACTCCAGCCTGTGTGATGGAGAGAGACCCCATCTCTAAAAAAAAATTTTACAAGGAGAGTCAGTGTGAAGTGGGACCTGAAGGTAGGCTATGGAGAATGCTTTAGTGATTCCACCTTAAAAGAAAGGACTGTAGAAGGCACTTTGAACCCGGTCACAGGCCACGCCCTCCTCCCACACCCACCAAAGCCAAAAGGAATCTCAACCCTGTGCAGCAATAAACTTGACATGTTTATTAATTAAACTATCACTTAAATAAAAAAAAGTGCATAGAAAATAAACATGTTTAAAAACTCCTTTTTTTTTACAACTATGTACACTTTTTACTTTTACATTCAGTCTTTCGTAGAGAGCTTTCAGCATTATTATTTTTTGAACTATTAAAGTATTTTCCTTCATCCCTGTCACAGGGAGTTAACACTGATGGACTTTAGACACATTTTCCTTTTATTTTTTTCTCTTTTTCTCTAACCAGAAGCTTGGAAGAACACAAGGAAAAAAAAAAAAACAAAAGATCTGTTATACATGATAAAAGTTGTCAAGAAATGTCTTATTTCTAGAAAAGCTTGTCATCTGTTGAGCTCTTGAAACAATTATTCAACTACCTGTATTTACTAAAGAGACTGTTAAAAGTTCAATAAAAGAAACACCACAATTCTATTTTCTTGGTTGAAAGACAGAACTAGAGTACCTCAGAACAAGATACCAGGAAAGCACAGAACACAATTTTCCCCTAAATGCAGGTGGTAACCCCAACATTCATAACCAAAAATAGAGAAACAAGGAGTACAGGTACTGACTGGCAACATTCATGGGCAGAAAAAAATCCAGGTGACACCATTTCTGCATTTCTCTCTGATTCTAGGAGTAGACTGTTTTACCATGCCTTAATTGTTTGGGTTTTCCCCCATTTTGGGAATCAGAGGAATGCCAGCCTGACGTTTTCCTGCCACTACTAGCAACTGTAACACAATCCTTATCTATAGTGTTAAGAGAATTAAAAGCCATGGACTGAACTAGGCTTTGTTACATGGTGCATTACTATATTAGTTCCTATATATATCATATTTATATTTATTTGAAAACCAAAACAAACAAAAAGTTGCAAGTTTTCAGAGTGTGAGACTTGACTGGTATTCATGATTCGGCACGAAACCATCTGCTCAATAACCTTGTATTGCTTAAAAATGAAGGAAATGAAACATAAAATTACACCCAGCCCTTTGCAATGACCCGCTTTTCCTTAAAAACAAAAACAACTTGATTTCTATTAAAAAAAATCCCAAATCAAACTTAAAAGTTAACATCTCACAAGGTTTTGACCTTTAGTATTTTCAGATATTGATTGAACGTCAGTCCTTTAGAAAGATACATTCATTAAAAGATTTTTTTTTTGTTTTTTTTTTTTGTGTGTTGTTGTATTTTTTTTTTTTTTTTTTAAATCAAGGGAGCTGCATGGTGCTCACTGCATTGGCCGGGGGTTTGACAGAGGCGAGCAGGGTGGTGGGCTAGGTCCCGGTCTGGTTGAAAACGTATAGCTGCCAGGGCTTCCCCCTCAATTCTTGTTATTGGCCTAAAAACAGGAGGGGCTGTGCTAAAGATGGTGGGTGGCCAAGGAGGGAGCCAAGGGACCAAGTTCCGGCCAAAGGGTCAGCGCCATGCAGCTGTTCTGGTTACACAGTTGTCACTGGCCACCAGGAAATGCAGCCACAACAGGTTCTAGCAGCAAAGCTATAAGTGAGCTGGCTCTCACTGAGAACTGACCAGGTTTGCAGCTATTACTCCTTAGGGATTTGGGATGCCCCTTGGGGGATTCTTGGGAATGACCCACCACAATTCCTCAATCTGCATTTTTGTGCGGATATTCCCTCAGTCACTTTCAAAACAAACTCAGACGTGTTTGGGAGATAGCTGTGCCATTTTTGCCTTCTTTCCCTCGCACAGGGAAACGCTAGCTTATCCCCCAAGTTGCTGGCAGGTATGCTGAAATTTTGGCAATGGACTCAAGGCTGAGCTGTAAGAGGAACTTCTCATTTCTGTGGTTGACAATTAGGGGGTGGAAAGGCAAGGCAAACCATCTGCAGCTGGCAGGAGAAGGAAAGATGTGGGTCCCTCCCCTGTCCTCAGGGTTTGGGGTTGGTAGAGTGAATGAGGAGGGGGCTCACAGTACAGCATGGCCTAGCAGGGCAGTAACTAGGTCTATTTAGCTGAGTTTCCCCCACTCCCTGACTGGCCTTTGGGTCTTTCTCAAGGTGAATTCATGACCCATCAGTGCATTAATCATTTCAGTAACAAATGCAGCTTAAGATTTTTTCTTTAAAAAAAATAGGAATACAAGGATTTACCAAAAAACCTCACACAGTGCAATAATAAAGGAAACCAGACACTAGTGGAACCCCTAGGGCCACTGCATCTTGTTCATGGGCAAAAGGAGGAAGGGAGGTGAGGTCTGGGTAGAGTGCTTTTCCCCAGTCCCTTGCTGGCACTTCTCCACGATGACAAGGAAGTCTCTGCCATCCTGGCCACAGTGCTGGGCTCCCTGCATGACAGTGAAAACAGTGATAATGTTCCAGCAAAGCCACCAGACAAAGTTCTTAAAGTCACGGAAGAAAAGGGAGCCCAGGATGGAAGGCACGGCAGAGCCATGAGTCCTGGGTCAGAGAGTGCTGGGCTGAGTTGTATTGCTTTGCTAGACTTCCATAGGAATGAGCTTCTTGCGGCGAGAAAAGGGTGCCCCACCCTCTACTTGGACTGCACTACTCTGAAACCTTGTGGCAGAGACGGAGAAAAATCTGCTTTATCGTGAGTGGTCAAACTGTGCTTCAGATTCAACAGGCTGCCCCAAAAGAGGGCACAAGGTGATCAATGGGTTCTTTGCAGGTATGAGGACTTGGTGGGCAGAGGGAAAGGAAAGGAAGTGACCTATGAGGCAGATGGTGATGGAAAATGTCAAGTTGCCATTCAACTTGTTGGTTGCTAACTCTGAAGTAGGAAAGATGAGGGAAATGTAAAAGATGACTGTCTTTCACCACTCTGGAGCTAGTGCCAGAAAGGAGAGAGACAGTATGGGCAAGAGGAGAAACTGTTGTGTCAAGATACTACTATAGCCTTTTGAGGAGCTTCACTAGGGGAAGGAGGGGGGTGTCCCAGTGGAGTTGGGGGACCTTCCTTCTCCATTTATTGTCAAAGAGCAAACTCAGGAAACATTTATGTCAACAGGGCACAAACAAGCTACACATTAAACAACGAAAAGTACACCTTCCAGGGGGAAGTTGGGCAGGAAAAACCAGACTTTGTGTGTACAGCTGAATATTTTCTCTAACTTCATCCTATGAAAATAAAAAATTATTAAAAACCGATCTTCTTTTAAATTAGGATAATACCGCGGTTTAAAAAATAGCCTTGTCATAAGTGCTTCTCCCTATGAAGTGCTTCTCATAGAAAAATATACAAAATATATTTACATTTATAAAACCTTAAATAGTAAACTGTAAACAGAACAGAGTAAAATCCAATGACTTAATTTAACAGGTTCAGGACACTGTCTTCGGGGAAGGAGGAGAAACATTTGATGCTGTTTTGACCACATCCTAAGGAGTAATCAGGGCAGTAGTGTCATTTAATTTACTTTATCCATGGATTGTGCACAGGTGGCAGAGTTCCCTCAACACAAGGTGGTCCAGTCCCCAAGTTTTGGGCCTTGAAATCTGATTAGTGTTCTGCCTTCAACTGGACATTGACCGTTTACAAATTGAGTCTTCCTATGTCTTAACAAGGGGAAAATAAAGTAATCATGTCCTAGGAATGGGGCCCAAGGGTCATCCTGGTTGTGATACTCTGGTAGTCGCATGATTCAGATCCTATTTAAATAATCTTTTTCCTCTTCTAAAAAAAATCATGCTACATATATTTCTTTAAATCTCTCAGTGGAGCTTTATGAAAACTCCTCCAAATTCTGTCTGGTTGTGACCAATGGCTCCTGTCCACTTCCCCAGCTGGAGTGCTTACAGGCTCAGGGAACTTTCTGCAGGCACATGCTATGCCCAGCAGGGAGTGTCCTTGAGCAAGGAGTCAACCTCCCCTACCACCCAGAAAGAAGAATGGGAAAGCAGTGGGATGAAGGACAAGGGAAAGGCAGAAAGGGGAGTGAAGAGAAGGAATGGGAGAGGGAAGCCGCTCCTACTGTCAAGAAAGGTGACTGGCTGAGCTAAGGCTCATGGGGATAACACTCCCACTTAAAGCCCACAGGCTCAGGGTTTGGTGATTAATTGGCACAACCCCAAGACAGCCTTTTGACACCAGAGGTGCTAGGAATCCTGTCTCCCAGCCAGAAGTGAACTCTCAAGTGGGAGGATAGGGAAAGCCACCAGACCTCTGTTTGTTCAACAGACGGCTGTAGATGGGGCCTGGCTGACAAACTGTCAGGTGTCCAACCAACCTGTATTTGGGGCTTTGCCTGACCCTTCAC